TATATTTTTATTTATGATAAATAATTTATATTATAGTTTAATATTATTTTTATTTATTGATAATTTATTTTAAAAATATTAAAATTTAATTTATAAATAATTATGATAAATAATATTAAATTAGATAAGAAATTTAAAAAAATCACTAAAATTCTTCATATTGAAGAAAAATTTATAAAAATGATTTCGTATAAGATAAAAATTTGTGTTTAATATATAAATTGATTATATAAATTAAAATTACTTTTCAACAAATCAAGTTAGTATAAAATTTTAATATTTAAATTAAAAATAATATGATAATTATAAAACAAGCTTAGATAACATGATTTGTTTACAATTAAAATAGAATAATGTTTAATTTAAATTTAAAGATAATAGTTTACTCATAATAATAACTAAACTAAATTGCACTATTAATCTCTTTATGTGTATCAATATGTAATTTTGGTGCTTTTTATTTTATAATAGAGACATTTAATTTTTTTATTTTTAAAAATATTAAATTTTAATTATATATTTAATTTGATATTTATTAATCGTTAAATTATTACATTGTTCAATGATATATCACTACTTAAATAATGTACTTTTTAAAAATTAAAAATAATATATAAAATATTTTTATTTATACTTATTTTATTGATTAATGAGAATTTATTTTATTAATAAACTTTATTTATATATTTATTTTTAGTTTTTTTTTTAATCTAAAAATGACATGCTACTAAATGTTAGATTATCTTAGTATAAATAAACATTAAATTTTAATGATTAAAATATATTAATTTAATGAGAAAATTATAGACATGTTATGTTAAAATTAGCAACCTGATTTTATCTTCAAATTTTCTTGATTAATTTTGTTCTATCCATTGAGATTAAAATATTAAAATATTATCTAAAATTAATATATAGTAGATAATCTTAATATATAATAGTTTTTGTCCGATTATATAAAGGTGCATGTGACACTAAGACTACTATTAATAATAATTAATAACCATTCAAAATAATCAATAAGTCATAAATTATATAATAACTGTCGAAATTTATATATTTAGAACTTTAAGATTATGGTATAATTGATCTTGCACTTTGACCTATATGGTTTTACGCTTTGACACCGCTGGAGATTAAAATGTGAATCAGTAAAATATATATATATATATATTTTATAATCTATATTATAAGGTACTTTAAATTGAATCACATCACCCAAATAAGTAATTAGTTAGTTAATTTTATTCGATTTATTAAATAAAATTATGATTTATTAATTTTACTTTTTTTATTTGTCATTAATTTTTCATGAGAAATGAAGAAATTTTCAATGTCAATTAAAATAATAAATAATAATGGGAGAGTTTAAAAAGTGAAAGAGAATTTCACGATCTTTAATAGAGTCATAAAATAAAAATAAAAATTAATATTTTATTAAAATTATAAAATATCTTATAAAAGAGAACACTTATTCCTTTTAAATTGTGTCTTATAATAAAAATCGAAGAAATATAATTTAGTCTAATAACAATTATGAATATAACTTAATTTTAATTTAATTTTGCTTAGAAAAAAAAAATTTAATTTTAATTTAAAAGTAATATTCCTCCAAACTCAAATATAATAAAATTAACTAACTTATATGTTTGTTAAGAAAATTAATTAATATTATTGAATTACTTTATTTTTAATTAAAATAAGATTCAACGAGTTGACATGTCAAACAATCCGCATTTTATGAGTTTGATTGAGATTTTTAACTCAATTAAAAAAAATTAACTTAACCTAACCCATTTTTTTTATATATTATTTAGAGTAAGTAGATAGGGAGTTAAATTAGATTGAAATTGGCTGTTTGACATTCCTATTTATAAATCTTCCTATTTAGTAAAGTATAGACGTGGCCGAGGTAGATGACCAAGTGGCTGCTACCATGTAGTAGTTGGAATAATGTTCCATAATAGTATTATCAGAAAAATTATATTTTTCAATGATATTATTAAATTATAAAATTTATTCTCTTATAATATGTTTGTAAATTTTTTTTAATGTTTTTAATGATAAAAAAAATACGTTTTAGTGATTACATTTTTTTTATTTCTACTCCCTCATTGGACATTTTTCTCTTAAACTCATATTATACACTTCATAACAATGTATTCAAAATTAAATCGATAATTGAACCAATTTAAACATCAAATCAAAGTTTAATAGTTCAACTTTGATTAAACTATATAATATCCAATTGATATTAATAAATAATGATATTATTATTTTATAATACTAAAAAATTAAAGCTCGATTCTAAATCAAACGATTATTTCTACAACTATGAACTACATCTCAAAAAGTAAATTTACAGATGCACTCGCACTTTTTTCCCTCGGTAATAATGGAAAAAGTTTTTCTGTAACAGTTGATCAACTTTAAGCTCTTTTTGGTGTGCAAAGTTTTTTCTTCAGCATCGTCCAAAACTCAAAAGCGTTATATGTCAACGATATCAAATTTTAATTGGGTTACCTAGCTTTGATAAATTGTTATAATTAAAAGCGATTATAAACCTACGTATTCTGCTTACCGTGAAATGGAGCTATTGATTTATATATTTTCAAAAGTAAACAGATCATATTCTATTATAATAAAAGCATGAAATAAGATAGAAAAAAAAAAAAACTAGATATAATAAGAATGATGCAACTGCTCTTTTAAATTATTCACAGTCTTATCCCTAACTAATCTTCTTCCTCGTTTTTCGCTTGTCATGTAATTAAATATAGCATAATGTGATGAGTCTCAAAGAGAGTACATAACATATAGTGTAAATTAGATGTTTCACATTGGATGTTGGCACATGCAGAGATATGGTTGCTTAGCTGTTGTCTTGTATATAATTTATTAGTTAGGTTGAACTTTGACTTGTACCAGACTCCCATTACGTAAGAGCGTTGGGTGAACTGTTAACACCTACAAAACTCACCTTCTACCACACCTTCATTTATATTTCTTCTTCTCTATCTACCCTATTCTTCTTATTAACAAATTCTAGCTATCAAACCTCCTTTTTTAATAGTTCAATCCTATACTATTCAAACCCCAAACGTGTGGTTTAGCAGTAGGAGTTGATTCACGCTTAAGCAAGATCAGAGGTTCGAATCCTATCTTGTGTATGCAGCCGTTTTAAATCTCGGGACCAGCTATCCTACCTTTTGACGAACCAAAAAAAAAAAATCCTATACTATTCAATAAACTCAACTTCAAGCTTCGTAGTGTATGAGAACATTTTAATTACATACCTGAAAGTTATATTTCAAGTATTGTTGCATATGAGTTTCTCTTAT